CTACGCATTCCTTTTTATATTTGATTTTGTCTTTCATGACTTCACTCCATTATTAGCTGACATGAATTACTGAATTTATAACATAAATACAAATGACAAAAAATGATCCTTGTTACTTCCTATATGTATATTGCTTGTTGTTTATCATCCCAGTTTCACAACAAGCACAAATAATTTTATGTATTAAATATACAGTGATCTGGTTTACTACATTTACTCATGAAAACCATATATTCTTTTTGAAAAAAATTACTCCAAGTCCAGAATCCTTTCTGACTGAATCAGTGACATATCTTAATCATATCTAGCACACTTACTAAATAATATTTTCTTCAACAGTATGCATATTCAAGTATTTTTCATGTCTTTTTGTATAGGCACCTGTACTGTCTTGATTTTGTGAAGAAGAATGATCCAATGTTTGCTTCACTGTGCTCTTATTTCAAGAACTAATTCTTTTCATTGCCTTAACCTGGTTCTTTTGACACGTGTATGTATATTGAAGCTCCAAGGTGTTGGCATTTTGAGGTCATAAAGAGTTCAGGATGTAACAGCTTCCTTTACATTTTGTCATCTACTGAACCAGTCATTATGACCTGTTACTCCTACCATATTCTGAAGTTTAAATGTTATTTTGTGGTCTCTGTCAATGTAAATGTAAGTAAAGTATAATTTGGAGATGCCCAACAGAAATATATTTAACTATTTTGTGAGTAGTTATTTTACTCCATTTTTAATTTATTTTTTTTTTTTACTTTTCACATAGTTGATAATTCAGTAATTGTACTGCAATGAGCAGTCAGTATTATGAGATAAGTGACAGTTATCCAGTTGTATTTCATTATCAAAGTAATGTTTTCTGTATCTCCTTCTGGGTCATTTGTTTTAATAATTTTTTTGTTTTTATATTGTTCAAAATGCTTCTAATAAATCTTCAGTAGGGAGACGTTTTTTGCTTTCTCTTGAAACCATTATAGCCTTTTTCCAGCATTGTCTTTTGATTGTTAGCAATGTTGCTTTAACAGCATGCTGTGCTGGTAGAGTTCAGTGCATCACTGAACCTGTCTTGATGTGGAAGCACGTTAAACAGATGTGGTAATATGCATATTTGGAATCATAGTTCAGATGGCCATTTTTCCTTTGATAGTGTTCTTATACACCATAAATTGATTATATGCTTAACATATTCTAGTTTTTTAATATGTAAGTATACTGCCTAACTATGCATCAGTGTAAGACCTCTATTAGGAATGATAATCAACTGGTCTGTATGTTTTTATGTTTTTGTTTTGGGGTTGTTTTTGTGTTGTTTTTTTTTTTTTTTTTTTGAGGGGGGCATCCCCACGTCATACTAATCATCCTGTGTGTGTAGCAATATTTAGCAAAGATCTGCATGTGTCAGCAGCTCATGAAATGTGCAAGTTTTTAGTTTATTTTATCCCAGTGGCTAATGCAAGGATAGTCAGTACAAGAATTTAACAAACAAACTCATACAACTACAGAGCTACTTTCCAGATGAGACCTCAGCACCATCTGAGGTATTTTCTTCCTCTTATATATAGAATTCAAAGGAAACTTACAGTTTCCATATGGAAAGTTAATCCAGGGTTATTTACATACTAATACTGACCCAGAATAAAAATCCATCAAGTATCGTGTATAATGATAGCAAGAATTCAGTTATAATCTTTGTAGCCAACTGCTACTTCAGGACTTTTGCCAGTCTGCTCATATGGGGCTTCCTGAATCATGCTTACTGTCTCTTAATTGCCCATTTACTCTTTTGTCCTCTTCCATTAATACAGGATCATCACAGAATGGATTAATGCTTTTTTTCCAACTTGCTCCAATTTGTAATGATCTTGCTGCCTGTTTGCAACCACTTAACATCCTACTGGCATGCACTTTCTTGTTGCATTAATGCATGAGAAAGTTATTGCATTTAATTAGCCATTAATGAATGCAAATCAGCAGTTATGAAATGCAAAAAAATTAAAGAAGGCTCCAAAGATTAAATTGTTTGGGGAAATCTATATATATGTCCAGCATAAATTAAAATAATAGAGGGTAATTTTTTAATGGAAAATTTGTGATGACGGAGGAAACCTACAAAGCTACATGACTTCTGTTGATTGGAAGGAAAAGATAGATCTTATGTGAAAGTATGGGAAAATATTATTTACTATCTAAGTCAACAAAATACTGAGCAGGAGCTGGTTCACCCTTATTCTAGATGTTGTACAACAGTCTTAGTGGTTCCTATATGTAATAAAGCAGTCTCTGTCAGTTGCTCTGTCCTGACAGTAAACACTTACTGTACTGTTGCTTCTTCCAGAGGCCCATTTATGGTACCTGAGACCCACACTATCATTGCACATTTTTCCTCCTATCTCATTAGACCTATGAGTCCCTCATTTACAATATATTTTTTTTCAGGAAATAAGAAAATAAGATAAAAGGAAGCATAAGACATAGAAACTTAAAAAAAAAAAAAAGGTTTTTTTTTTTTTTTTTTTGTAAATTTAAATTGTTGAGAATTGGAAAAACCTGGAATCTGTGTCCTTAACTTAGAGTTTAGATAATACTACCCTTAAGAGTCGTTAACGACTGCATATGCTCATTGAAAGGCACATTTCCTCATCATCTCATGAGGATCCTATGATTACATTGGAATGGCAAATTTCATTAAAATAAATGGGTAAAAAAGGTCAAACTCCCTAATAAATAGTGCCTTTTATATTGTACTTTAAAATTCTCTTATGGGAACCAAAAATAGTTATTGTAGTACTATTTGCTTAAAGAAAGTCTGAAATAGTAGCTCTCAGTGGAGTGAACAATTTAGTTCAGTTTCAGCTGAATTTTAAAGCTTAAAACCCAGGTTTTGTCAGTTTCATCAGCTGCATTCCAGCAGAAGGCAATGAGAATAGAACAAAAAAATCAATAGTATGTAGGGGACATTCTGCTAACTTTCTCCTTCTCTGGGATGAAGGCAGTTAAAAAATAAAAATAAAATACAAAATAAAATAATAGTGTACACCTAAAACCTCCTCACCCTTTTGAGGAGTGATATCTCCCACATAATTTCTTTGTTTCTTCTGCAGAGAGGAAGCTTTTGAACATTATCCATATGTGTTGATACCCAATGCACAAATTAACTGAATACGGCCATAAATAATTATCTCACTTCATATAAACTGTCTGTCCAGTACTTTTTATGGCTATAATATCCTGAAGCATTTGCCTGCTTGAGTTTTTGAAACGTATCTAGTCATAATTTCTGTATTTTTACCCCAATGAATTATACTTCAAATCATTATTTTAAGATAGCTTCTGCTATTATCTCTTCTGCATTTTTCATCTCTTATCAACATTGCTTGCCTGCTTAGCAGTCTGAGGCAGATACTTGTTTTTGACCTCATCTCCTCTTCCCAGGTTTTGGTGATCACCAATCCCAAACTACTTTTTCTGCAGCTTTCTTAGAATTTTCTTGCTAATCCACATTCCAGAGAGTTGAAGTTGAATAGAATTAAGCCCTTAGCACCTGTCTTGCTGAATATGAAGTAGACATAGGTATTTCTCATTCACCTAAATACATCTTTCACAATGATTTCTGCAGTTTTCTTCAGAACAGAATGTTTAGTGGTTTCTACTCTTGTATCTCAGCTGATTTTGTATTGCTCTAGTTAAACAGATCGTTCTAATGGATATTCTCAGATTACCTGCCTACAAGGTTTTATTTAAAATATCTGCATATATCTCTGCAGTTTATCATACTGGTATTCTTTGTCAGTCCTCTGGAGAAAACAAGTGTTATTCATTCAGCATTAGTTACGTAGTGCATGTCCTGTTATTGTGCTTAGTAATTTTACGATGAGTCAAGTAACATTATGGAAAACTGAAGAAGCATTTCTCTTTTAGATAATCTATCTCAAGTAACAAGAAAAAATTATTTTCTTATTTAATTTTTTAAAAAATGGAGATTCTTTTCTAAAATGATTCTTATTCTAAAAAGATGTTCTACCTTTATCTGAAGCAGTGTAAACGTTGCACTGCTCTGTTAGGGCTCAGTGGGTAACAGAATTCATTGCTTGATGATAATATCTTTAATTTTAATATGTATTTGACTCATTTACCCATAACTACCAAAACAATTGTGAAAAGTTGGCATAAAAGATCATAAAATTAAATATAGGAACAAAATATCTATAATGAATGCAGATGGTAAATATCCTAGGTTTGCTCAAAAAAATTTCAGGGCTTATTCTGAAAATAAAAGAACATTTTTATTCTTCTCCTAATGTCAAGAATGGGTATGTTCCACACTTAATTCTCCTGTTGGACACTTTTTAGTGAGATGGCTGGCAACGTTTATTTAGAGTGAATCAATCATCAATAGTGTAAATGCAAACTTCTTATGAGTCTTCAGTCTCAGATTAGGTTAGTAATAACATTTTAACTAGTGTATTTCTTAAAGTTCTAAAGATAAAAATTACTTGATTATCAAATTATAATTGTCAAAACTAAATTTGTACACTTGATTCTGCACCTAGTTTAGGAGTATAGAGTAAGTTAATCTCATTTCAAATGCTCTTCCTGATCAATTTTCCATCTTTCTCTAAGGAAAAATATTTTCCTAAAGCCCAGCGACTTTGTGGAAGGTGACAAATTGACCTAAATAGCTTTTACTTAAATACTTCAGTATAAATCACAGCTTCTGCTCAGAAAGTAGGGAAAGTATGTGATGTTGTAGAATTTAGAAAATAATTCAGCATATATTCTCCTTTCATATTTTCTGAAAAAGAGGAATAAGCCATGGAGTTACTACAGAAATGTCCCTTTATTCATGTGATTTTCATCATTATCCTACAGTAGATTTTCTTTTCTTTTTTTCCTCCCACACATAATTTGGAAGGAAGTGTCTCACACGTCTCCAAATCTTAATGTGTTTTTTTTCTTCAACTGACTGGGATATTAATCTATTTTTTCATTCATTTTTATAGATTAAAAAAATCAACAGGAATTTCCCCGTAAACCAGCAGGTAAGAAAAATAAAATTTGGGTATTTTCAGTCATAATTCTAATTTCATCTGTATTTAATTCTGTAGTAGCTGTGCATTGTCTTAGGTTAGAAAGTTCTTGGTAAGTTTTCTTTAGAGAGTACCTTGATGCTTTTTTTGTTTGTTTGTTTGTTTGTTTGTTTGTTTTCCTGATGTCAGTGTGATCAATTTGGTATATTCACATTAAATAAGATCATGCTTAATCTTTTCAAGTTAAATGAAGATTAATGCGTATATTCAAACTTAGTTTCGTCAGATTGCATGCCGTCCATTTTATTATAAAAGCAGGAAGGGAATTGCTATGCTTAACAAAATTATCCATTATTAATCAATGTTTGTCTAATATTTTTTAAATGTGAAAAGTCTCTTGTCTAAACGAAAGCCATGAAAATGGATATAAATGGTTATGGGGCAGATCAGTAGGAAAATTTGGAACAAACTGCATTATCTGATTGTCTCCAAGTTCACCCTTTGACAGTATCATGATAGTGGAAGGCATGGCAATGCCTTGAAATGCCAGTAGAATTCCTTGAACAGAGGTGTTTTCTTGCTAGCAGAATGACTGCTCTTCTCTAAAGCTGAGTTTCGGGTATTTGGATCCTTGAGTCAAAGGGAAATGTTTAGATGGCTTGAAACTGAAAAACTGGATTTCTGTTCTCATCTTGTAGTTGCTAGAGATCAAATGAGAATGGAGAATAGTCACGTCTCTGCATTAGGATCAACACATATTTAAGAAAACCATAAAAACAAAGCATGAACAAAAAAATTAAGTGTAAAGATGAGTACACTGTAAAGTGATCAGAGGGTCATTTGGAGCATAATCCCATACCATAATAATGCCTTTAGGCTATAATATAGCATATGAGCAGTTGAAAATGTGCCTGTTTGGTAGTGGGCTACTTATCTCAGAGTACAAGTCTAGTAAATAAGATGAGGTAATTAAGTTTGCTTTTTTGTTGTGTGTCATAAATGTTACATAATGGGGATTTCTTTTTAAGTAATGGAGTAGTGGGAAACAGAAAAATTAGGTTCATCAGGAGGAGTAAATTGCCTCCATGTTGACCAAGAGAATTATGTACAGCACTGAGCTGCAAACTTGACTTCATGAAGATATATTTGAAGAATGAAAGTACTTTCACCTCACATTTCAGTCAAGATTATTTCTGAGTTACATGTCTCTGGTCCAACTTCATTAGTATGGAATTTTACTAAGTGTAATTCACGTAGCAGGAATGGGCATTATTAGTTTCTTTGCTTCTTTCTTCTTCAGGTCCGCAAATCATAATAAAATAATAACAAGTATTTATATGCCTTGTATAAATAAAGTTAGAACAGATGAAACATAGTAAACAGACACATTTTTATTTGCACATGTTTTTTAATTCTTTACAGTACAATTTTATATTACAATATTTAGATAATATAGATATGTTTATTTCACTGTTGCTTCCTGTTGTTACCAAGAAGTTGTTTGCTACATTTAGCAATCAAAGTTAATTTTATTTAAGCATTTTCAGAACAATTTCTGTAATATCATCTGCTGGCAGTGACTAAGAAGTGCTCCTGTCTCAAAGGAGGGACAAAATACCTATTTAAGAAAACAACAACAACGAACACTTAACATTTCACTGTTACGATTTACTCTGAATTTGTGTCCATGTTTTTATTAACTTCAAAAAAGTAAGGACAGTAAAATTATAAACAACAGTTATAATGTCCCACCAGACTATTATTCATTCAGAGTTATTTGCTGGTTTTGAACTCCTGACATATAGAGCATTTTATTTCTCTTCATTGGAATTCCAGCGTAAAGCAAAACTAACTTGCTTGGCTTGAGTAGCTTGCTATCCGCTGGATTGGCCTACAATTAATGTGTTCCCTTATCAGCATCAATCACTATCTTTGAAAAGAATTACTGTGAACCATTTAAAGGAAGTCAGCCAAAATGTCAAACTGAAAAGTAGGAGGCGGATCAGGAGATAAGGTCTCACTGTTCATCAAATACTGGAAAACATTTATTGATCCACAGATATCTTGAAACTTTAGGGACTATTTATTTTAAAACAGACTCCTGTTTGAGTTTATTTTATGTAGTTTCCTTTTGTTTTTAAATTGTAAGTGGAGGTAGGAAATAATACCCTATTTAACTTAAATTAGGAGAACTTTCAGAGAAGAGTCACAAAAGAGTACGTAGACATACCATTAATTTCTGTCTTCTGATATGCAGCAGACATAAAAAATGTGCAGGGAAGCAACAGGCCTTTTTCTTTGATAAATCATTATATGTTTACTAGAATATTAATTATGATCTCGAATATCTTTATCATTATGGCATTATTTTAATAAAAAAACAATTTTGTCTATGATTTTGAATAGCAATTTTTAACTTCTTTTAGGCAAGCACATAATGAACTTAAACTCTGAAACTGATCTGATTTGGATTTTATTTCATATTATTTCTTATAATATATTTTATCTAAATTAGTCCAAACTACAAGCACATTATCTTTCTTACTGTCCATCCTATGTATCTTCTTAGTAGGAAAGCAGTACCAGGACAAACTGCTGGATAAGATAGACATGGGAAAACCAGGGAACTGATTTTCCATTTACTGCGTTATAGCTGTGTTCACAAATGCAATAAATTGCCTCTTGCTTCTGTACTACAAAGACAAAAGCCATGCCTGAAGGCTTAAATACAATCAAAGAATCTACACAAAATGATCTTATTCTGTAATAAGTACATGACCTTAGGAAATACCTGCAATTAGTATAAATTGAACTGCTGTGTTCTTTTAGTTCTCAGATCTTTCCCACTATACCAACAAAAGTTTCAATATGTTCTCTCTTTCAAGATCTGAGCATTAACTCAACAAAGTATCCAAGTATCTTGGTTTAAACAGGCTATTTTCCATGGTTGCTGGAAATTCTATCTGCAGACTCAGCATAATGCTTAACTATCATCATTAACTACCAAAAAATTACCAGCTTCAGAGGGAAATAAAATAATTTTGTTTTAATAAAATGATCTTTCATAACATTGTTTTTAAAATTAATCTACTTTTGCTCTGTTAAACAAAAAAAGCAAAAATATTGTAGCACTTAAAGTGTCATACAAATAAGGCAGATATGCATATCTTCATATAACCCTTAGTTTTATTTTCTCAAGGTTACCAAACACTGTAGGCATTGCTTTCAAAAGCAAAGAGCAAAAAGCAGTTTAATTCTATCTTAAAAGTATGTTTTATTTTCTAAGGAAGGATAAGTATCCTAATACCAGAAGTGCATTGGTATTGGATGTATGATGTGTGTGATGGATTGGATTGGATGTGTATGATGATTTTTCCACATATATAACATACCAAAAGAGGGAGAATTCCTGCTCGTCTCTCACAGAGATTTTAAAAGATTTGCAGAATCATAGAATGGCCTGGGTTGAAAACAACCACAATGATCATCTAGTTTCAATCCCCCTGCTATATGCAGGGTCGCCAACCACTAGACCAGGCTTCCCAGAGCCAGAAAGAAGAGATTTCCCCTGAGAACAGCCAGCACTGTTGTTGGCTTAGGATTCCAGCTAATTGAAAAATCAGTGGCCATTTGGCTGGCCAGTTCAGATGGTTGCCTTTAAGACTGATAGCCGTTCAGAACTGCTTGATATCAGAAAAGGGAATGGTAGATGGGATAGTGTGACTTTGGCTTTACATTCAAATATTTCATTTTCAATCTCTTTTTTAAAGCTTAGTTCGACTTAATGCTGTGTCTTCACCGGTGGTATTCATAAGGCTTCATACTTGGAAGAATAGTTGAGTATTTGTTTCTAGGAGGCAATATTCATGTTAAATTAACAGGAATGGCTTTCAGATTTGGAACACTGAGTTCCTTGTGGACTGCAAAGACAAATTATTTCACATAGGGTGCTACCCCTAGATGTCTTGTATTCTCTGGGAGGCTCACAACACTAGCTGAGAACAGAAAGATATCTCAGTGAACTGATGAAACTGAACTTAGAAACAAACATTAAAAGAACAATTTTAGACAAACAATTAAAAATAAATTTATGTTTCTTTTTCTAATGCAGCCCTTAGTGTACTCCAATTCAGACTACTGCCACTGTTTTTGTTAGCCATGAAGATTGTTCTGCTCATTCTCACATGTCCCTCTTGGTTCTGTAATGTTAGTTCTTTTTTACTGCTTCAACAGGGACTTCAGACCAATACATCTAAATTTTCCCTTGCAAGGAGAGCATCCCAATGTTTCTGTAAGAAAGAAGGCAGTGCTTCCTCTCACCAATGCAGCCCTGATGGAACGCTTTTTACATGGAACAGTGATTGGAATGTCTGGGCACAGCAGTGTAGTTAAAACTCTCTTTACCCATGCTGTATCTCTATTACAATGAATTAAAAATTATTTCCCTCCATCTTTCATCAAGTACAACTTAAAAAAAAAAAAAAAAAAAAAGTATAATAGAGACGAAAGTCCTTTAGTTGTACACTATTTCTCTTCTATCTACAGGCAGCATGAGTATTTTTGAAACATTTTTCTTGTCTGCACAGAAGATATTCTCATTGAGTAGTTTTGACTATCATTTTAAAGAAGAATCTTTCCCTCTAGAGTTTTCCTAAAATTAGATAAGAATTGGTAGCTGTCCTGGGCAAAGTTAACAGCTTATAATGAGATTCATGCAGCTCTAATATTTCATGATATTACTTTGGAACTTATAACAGCCTATTTCTTACTTAGATTCCTATGTCTCTCTTTACTGAGTACTGTTTCCAGTTCCACAACTGTGTTTCATTCAGTCTTAAAATAACATAGTGGCATGAGTAACTGATGTCCTATTAACAGACAGAACTGGAGTATAGCTGTGCATGTCACATTCTGCAGTATTCAGTTTTCATGAGTTGTATTGCATTGCAGGCATATCTTAGTATCATAGAATGGCCTGGGTTGAAAAGGACCACAGTGATGATCTGGTTTCA